CCACATGACACACTACTAACTAATAAAAAAAAAAACATAATAAAAAAAAAAAAAACGGGGACATGTAATGAAGATGAAGACAATGACAATGCTACCCAAAAAAGAATTAAGAAGAATTAGAGAAATTTAAACCAAAAGTAATATTTATTTAGACTATGTATTTAGACTAGCATTATTATAAAGTTGCAAATATTTATTTAAGTGACAATTATAATCAATTTATCATATATTATCTTTCATTTATATACTTTAAGTTACCAATTTAAATAAACAAATTCAACATTTATTTACCTATGCATGAACATTTCCTATATAATATTGCATTGATATAATTTGAAATACTTATTCAAAAATAATCATTGGGCATTATTCTATTTGCGCAAAGCGCGTAAAAAAACTATATAATTTAATAAGAGTAAAATAGAGTATTAATTATGCCAACTTTGATTGGGATGAGGTTCGGAACCTAACACCTTTCTTTTTAAAATCAATGAGTAAGTTAATGGTGAACTAACAGAAATTAACAAAAAAGATAATATTTAACGGAAAAGTTAACGAATAATTATATTCATTAAGGATAAATTAGGAAATCTTAAGGAAAATTTAAAATCTGATCAATATGAGTCATTCATTTGATTAAAAAATTTGACCGTCATTTTTCTACCCATTAGGGCATCCTCTATAGTGGGAATTTTGGTGTGGTTTTTTGAGGAATTTTTGTAAGTGTGATTAGAAAATAGAAGATGTGATAGAAGAGAAAAAAGAAAGAAAAAAAAAAGTGAAGCAACACACAAGAGAGAGAAGGAGAGAAGCTAGCTAAGTGGGCCCATATTTCTGACATAATCTTTGTTTTTGCAGGGAAAAAATACAGTCCAAATTTTGCCTTCTCATTTGTTAAAAAATAATCCATGTGCATTTTAGTGTTCTAAAATTAGGGAACCCCCTATTGGGGTTGCCCTTATAGGCCTAACTGTCTTGGGCTCTTATTAGTGTATATATATATATATATATATATATATATATATATATATATATATATATATATATATTAACTACTGACTATATTACAATGTAATATGTTTTCATAACTACTTTCTCAACCTACTGAAGTAGAAGGTCATTGGCAAAACTATCTATTTAATACTATCGATATTACATTCTGAGCAGACCCTAATTGCAGGGCCCGTACCACACGATCACTCACACCAACCAACCAAACAAATGCCCAATCATTATGCTATGGACCCGTGTCCACAATGCATTGTGGACACGGTAACGGTGCCGTTAGTGGCACCGGTAACTATATGTTCATAATTGTAAGTTCATAATGTCAGAGCTCTGTGTTCATAATTCCATAACTGTACATTCATACTTCCATAACTGTACATTCCTAATTCCGTAACTGTAAATTCATAATTCAGTAATTGTAAATTTATAATTTTCGAAGTTCTATGTTCACAATTTTAGAGCTTTATGTTCACAATTTTATCACTATATGTTCATATTGTAAGTTCATAATGTCAGAGCTCTGTGTTCATAATTCAATAACTGTACATTCATAATTACATAACTGTACATTCATAATTCCCTAACTGTACATTCATAATTCCATAACTGTACATTCATAATTTTCGAAGCTCTATGTTCATAATTTTATCACTATATGTTCATAATTTTATCACTATATGTTCATAATTGTAAGTTCATAATGTCAGAGCTCTGTGTTCATAATTTCATAACTTACATTCATAATTCCATAATTGTACATTCATAATGCCACAAACGAATAACTCCGTTAACAGCGAGACAAAATCAATTATTTTTTATTAAAATGTCGTGTTTTTCCTGAAAACGACGTTGTTTTAAACCCGTGTCCACAGTTTGCGACAAATGCCTCGTATACTTCCATGATTATTTGTTTCAATAAACATATATTGGTATTACTTTAATAATGGGCCTAAAATACGGATAAGAGGCCTTTTGTGAATAAGCCCACTCCCTATTTCAGTTGGATGAATGAACCCACCGGGCTTAATGGTGGCCCAATGGAAACTCTTGGGTTCCCATAAAATCCATAATATGCTAATTAGAATTCAGGGCAATCATTATTGTGTGGACATGGTAAGTTGTGTGGACCATATTTTATATACTGTAAAATAATGTACATTCAATACAAAAATAATGTACATTGTATTCAGGGGATATACATTATTTTTGTACTGAGTGTACATTATATTGTATAATGTACATTCAGTACAAATATAATGTACATTTAGTATATTAAAAATGTACTTTTAATTATAGTTCACGTAACAATGTGTGGACCATAATTTGCCCATTCCGGGAATTGATAAATGGAAACGAAATAAACATAAATTGGATTTTATTAAATCCAATTGGTTCTAAAGTATACTCACTTTCAAAAAACTCTAGCCTTTTATGAGTAAACTAGTTATACACGCTCATTGCGCAAAGTAATTTAATGTCCAATGTTTGCATCTCTATCTCTATATATATTAAAGCAAAATGATGGCCAAAATTTTTTTTCCTCCAAAATATAAATGCATTTATTGTGTGTGTGTGTGTGTGTGTGTGTGTGTGTGTATATATATATATATATATATATATATATATATATATATATATATATAAAATTTATTTATTATCTAAATGCCATAACCATAACCTAATTTATTATCTATCAAAAAAATATGTATAAATACATCTACCCACACAATTCATGCCCTCAAAACGCATTCACACTTTGGAGAGAAAATATATATAGAGATTAGCATCCATAGCGAACAACCTAGGTTCGCCACCGTAGTTTTGATTATGGCTCCTATTAGGGAAAAAACTCTTAGACGCAGTAAATTGTAAGATAATAAATATCTAACAGGAAAACTTAAAATAGTTTTTAAATATCTCATAGGGAAACAAAAACAGTTTTAAATATCTCATAGGGAAACTTAAAAAACTATTATAAAATGGTGTTTGATAATAATGATATCAGGGAAAAAACTCTTAGACAGTGATAAGTGAAAACAACATCTTAGTCAGTGTAAAGTGGAAATAGTTTTCATGTAAAAAAAATCATAGTTTAATGCTACTGACTCAATTGCATTGTAGTATCTGTTCAAACATATTTTCTCAACCTAATGAAGCACACAGAGTCAACAATGCCTCCACTGAGGCTCAATCTCATGACCTCCCTAATAGGAGAGGTCACTATATGCCATTTGAGCACAAGGTGCTTGGCTGATCTCATGTAACTTAGAGTTGTAATTTTTTTTACTTTATACTTTGTTCAAATGAAGTGTATTCTAAGAATTTGATTTGTAAAGTTTTATTACGGAGTATTATATTACTTTGTATTTTTTTTTTTTTTTTGAACTTATAGTCTGTTGAATTATGTAGCCAAAAGTAATTGGATTCAAATTACTTTATATTTTCCTATCCAAGTGTGAATGCAAATGAGACTAGCAATATGAATGCATTTATTGTGTTCACATTTATTGTGTTCACATTTATTGGTAAAGTTTTATATTAAATCATTACTTCCTAATATAATTTTACTTTTATTACATCATTATTATTATTATATTAAATACTAAATTAAATATATTATTACGCCCTAATAATAAATATATGTACGTTACATATATTACAACACTAATAAATATAAATAAATAAATATATATACACACACACACATTTCCCAATGATCATCATTATCTTTCTAAACCTACTTACCATTCTAACTCCTACTCCTAATATATAAGCATATATGTACACACGGATTTCCCAATATATATACTAATCAACATCTTCCTAATTTCTTCATCGACATTTGTATTTGTTCTTCGTTTGTTCCTCATTTTTCTTTACGCGTGCGCGCACAGACACACACACAGAGCCGATGGTGAGTCTGGCGGTGTTGTTACATATGTGTTGATGTTGAAGGATGCAAATAAATCATAATTTACACCAACTACGAGCCGCAACAACATCTTTTGACATTAGAAAGAGCCATCTTTTTTTTTTTTTTTAAAGCCAAAAGAATCAGATTATATTAGCCATACTAGGCAAAAGAAAGAGTGGAGGATCATCCCTCCAAACAGAATGCGCCAAGCTTGCGCTTACATGTTTAGCTAGAGCATGTGCCGCTCGATTTGCATCCCTGCTTACATGTTTTACCACTGGATTTGACATGAATGTAAGTAAACGATTACAAGATAGCAACACAAAACCAAGATAAGTACGAAATGAACTAGCATGACTTAAACTTGAAACTAAAACCAAACTATCCGAACATAAAGTGACTGCAATGTAACCATTGTCTTTCAACCATGATAGTGCTTCACACATTGCCAGTGCTTCCGCCAAGATAGGATCATACGAACAAGATAATGGGCCATTTGCCGCTGCCATAAGGTTCCATCCGCCTCATGTACAATGAATCCATATGTGGGTGCATGCTGTGGACCATGAAAACCCGCATCTACATAACAGATAACCCCTGCAGCTGAATGGGGATCCGGAATCGGCGCTGTTGCCTAAAGAGGCGGGTTATGTGCATGCTGCTGACAATTGATCTTCCACGCCTCCCACCTAGCGATATTACCACATAGTAGTTTTTGCGGGAATGGTAAAAAACCTTCCCATACTGCGACATTCCTGGAAGTCCATATGTCATATAAAAATCCACATATCCTGCCCTTGGTGTCCGAAGTGATGGCCAGTTCGACAAGCCAACCTTCCACCCATTGCTTAAAACTCCTGCCGTTAAAAGATGGAATAGGCAATTGAGATAAAGTCCAAACATGTGATTCAAAAAAACAAGAACATAAAGCATGCATAACATTCTCCTCCTCCATTCCACATGACGAACATACATTAACAAGATCCACCCTGCGCATAATCAAATTATCTAACGTAGGCAAAATGTTCAACAAGGCTCTCCACAGGAAGATCTTCCACTTAGGCGGAACCTGTAACTTTCAAAGCATTCCCCAAACCACCGAGGTTGGGGTATTCTGTTCAACCAGCCTTCTATACCCATCTTTTACTGAATAGCATCCCCTTATATCCCGTTCCCAAAACCACATGTCCTCATAGTCCGCATTAATTGGCAGCTGTTTAATTAACACAACATCTCGAGGAGCAAAAAGTTGATTAATTAAACCATCATTCCATTTCTTAGTATCATTTTCAATCAAATCCGCAACCAGTAGCTCATGATTGAGACTCTGGTGATTCAGACCCACATAGGGGTCATGTGCATCAGGTAGCCACGGATGCGACCAAACTTTAGTAGTCCTACCATTTCCAATCCTCCGCCTGTACCCAGTCCTAACCAACTCCTGACCAGCCATTATACTTCTCCAGACATAGCTCGGATTACCACCCATAACAGCTCCATAAAAAGTAGTAGTAGGATAATACCTGGCTTTAAAAACCTGCGCCAACAGAGAGTCAGGATTCGTTAGCAATTGCCACCCCTGCTTGCCTAGCAAAGCTACATTAAACTCATGCAAGCGTTTAAAGCCCAAGCCACCATACTTCTTCGGTGCACACATTCTGTCCCAGGCTAACCAATGAATACTGTTGTCAGCTCCTTTCTGCCCCCACCAGTACCTGTTCATCAACCTTTCAAGAGCAGCACAAAGGGTTTTAGGGAGTAAATATATGCTCATTGTATATGTGGGCATAGCCTGCGCTACACTTTTCAGTAGTACCTCCTTACCGGCCTTTGATAAAAGCCTTTTGTTCCAAGAACCGAACCTCTACTTCAACTTCTGCTCAACATATGCAAAGACTGCCTTTTTATTCCTGCCTACCACTAAAGGCAAACCAAGGTACTTACCAAAATCATCTGCCTGGGCAACCCCCAAAGTTCCTGCAACGAGATCCCTATCCCCAACAGATGTATTACGACTAAACGTAATATTAGACTTGTGAAAGATTACCGCCTGCCCCGAATAAGCCTCATAAATGCCCAAGCACTTTTTCACCTCCAATGTCTCCTGCAGATTAGCTTTAAAGAAAAGGAAACTGTCATCTGCAAAAAACAAATGAGAGATAGGGGGCGCCCCCCGGGCTACCCTACAACCATGTATAAGTCCTTTAGACTGAGAGTCCTGCAACAACAAAGACAGACCCTCAGCACATATAATGAATAAATAGGGATACAAGGGATCACTCTGTCTTAGCCCCCTAGTTGGGATTATCTCCTCAGTTGGGATGCCATTTACCAGCACCCTATAGCGCACAGTCTCAACACACATCATCACAAGTTTTACCCACCTTTCATCAAACCCCAACCCTAACATCATCTGCTGTACAAACGGCCACTCCATCCCGTCGTAAGCCTTAGCCATATTAAGCTTTAAGGCCGCCCAACCAACCTGCCTTAACTGCTTCCTTCTCAAATAATGACCAACCTCAGACGCAATAAGAATGTTATCTGAGATTAAACGGCCAGGCAAGAAGGCACTTTGAGATACTGAAATAATACCCTCAAGCAGCGGTTTCATATGATTTGCAAGCATTTTAGCCATTATCTTATACAACACGTTACATAAAGCAATCGGTCTCAAATCAGAAACAAACTCGGGGGTACATTTCTTGGGGATCAAAACTATATTTGCATCATTCAAATTAGCAGGAAAAGATGACTGTGTAAGGCAATTAATAACAAAATCAGTAACATCCTTACCAGTTACATCCCAGAAAGCCTGGTAGAAGCCCGGATTCATTCCATCCGGACCGGGGGATTTGTCCTTGCCCATAGAAAATAACGCACAACGTACCTCTTCAGGTTCAAAGGCACGCAGCAGGTCCTCATTCTGCACACTGGTCACTCGCGCCTGCATAGAATCCACACTGAAAGCCCTAGGATTTCCACCAGTAGCAAAGATCTGCTTATAATAATCACTGACCACCGTGTTCAGTGCACTAACCTCCCTCTAGACACCATTGCCATCTTTTAACTTCAAAATTACGTTCTTCTTCTTGCGGTATGATGCATATGTATGGAAAAACTTAGTATTTCGGTCCATCTTAATCTATGAATACTAAATATAAATAAATATATAAATAAATAAATAATGAATATAAACATTAGTATATTATTTTTATTTTATTATTAAGTATGTTAATATTTACAACCAGGACTATGTGGTCTAATGGTACCCGGGTTGGACTTCCATTTGGAAGATTATGAGTTCGAGCCTCAGTGGAGGCGTTATTGGTTCTTTGTGTTTCAGTAGGTTGAGAAAGTATATGAACAGATACTACAATGTAATAGAGCCAGTAACTTTCAAAAAAAAAATGTTAATATTTACAACTTATTATATATATTAATATTTAAGTAACATTGGTGAGTGTTTTTTTTTTTTTAGTTAAATTGATTGATATTTTTTGCATTGTGATGGTTCAGTTTCAATATATTAGAGATATAAATGCCCAAACCTTCTAATGTAAATAAAATAACTCTTCAATTAGTTTACAATAATTAAACAAATACAGTTTACAAATAAAAGTGTGTATGTTTATTCCAATGTGAAGTTATTGAAAACATTAGTATATTGTTTTTATTTTATTATTAAGTATGTTGTCATTTACAATTTATTATATATGTTAATATTTAAATAACATTACTTAACATAAGTCATATTCGTTCATCGCACGGGTACAATACTAGTTTAAATATGTAATTCAACGAAAAACATATCGTACAACCAAAATTTGGCATCAACCATGGCTACCTGATAAAGAGGACCATTTTATTCATACAGAGTCTGTGAATGACAACATTGATATGAAAGTGGAAGCCTTGATCGACCCCATCACCTCTGACTGGAATATCAATATGGTTAGGGACAGGGGCGGACCCAACATGGGGGCAGCTGCCCCCACTCACCCCACACAGTGGCGGACCCAGAAAACTTTTTCAGTGGAGGCGAAACGCATTAAAACAAAAGAGATAGTTTGATAAAAATAAAAAATAAAACACTTAAAAGTATAGCCATAAATATTGTTGGATGTGGACGAAAAATAAAACACATCAAAACTTTATAAAAAATATTCATAACAAAATATGAAACATAATTAATTTGATAAAATAATTCAAATAAAAAATACATTATAAACACATCTCATTATTAATATAAAAGAAAGTTTTATATATGTGTGTGTGTGTGTGTGTGTGTGTGTGTGTAAATCTCACAATTAATTAATACGAAGTTTTAAAAGTCATAAAAAAAATATAACATGCACACTAGTAAGAAAGAGTAAATATGCAAAGGTTGAGGATTCAAACCCTGGCCACTTACAAATATAAAACACACACTTTGCCACCTACTCTAGTAATCTTTTATTAACTTTTATCTATTTTATTATACTTATACTAAAACTTGTACTATATATACATATATACATACAAGGGTTATATATGGGGTGGGGGTGGGGGTGGAGCGGACCCAACATGGGGGCAGTGGGGTCCGCCACTGGTTAGGGAGATGTTCATTCAAAGAGATGCAGAATTAATTCTCTCTATTCTAGTTTCGTCTGGGATTGCGGATGTGTGGTGTTGGCGTGGTGACATAAGGGGTGTGTACTCAGTCCGCAGGGGAATGAATGGGTATGGAATAGGAAATTGTGGCAGGTTGATGAGATTAAAGGAATGGCTACAAGCTGTTGCACTGAATGGCAGATGAATCCTACACTGCATGGAACCGGTGGGTTGCTGCATGTTACAAGTGTAATGTTTTCCATAATTGTTATTATTATAACATTAAGATAAGTTATGATAATGTTAAAGTATTTGATGTATGATGCAACGCTAATAACCTAATAGCTAGACTATCATTATGATTAGGAGAGTTTAGGAGACCTAAAGACATACAACCACAATGATGGCCAGTGGTTATATACGGTCACTAGTCCTCTCACTGCTCACATGACATACCTCATACACCATCTAGAGCTGAGTAGAAGTGAGAGACAAAACTCTGCAGCAGTTCGGATCGCTCAATACAAGAAATAATGGCGAGAGCCGGGAGGTTAGTATGATCCTGTTATCACATATTATATGATGCATGTGATATGTTTAATTTAATTCTAACAGTTGGTGTCCGAGCCAAAATAATCTCTGTCTGGTTCTTTTTAATTGCTTAATATTTGCATATGTTGCTATACGTTATTGTATAATTGAGATACATATGTGAATATTCTTGAGTATGTAATTGTATGTCTAGGCTGCTGAAAATTAAGTGTTTTTTTCCCGCATTAAGAATATATATATAAAAAAAATCAATCTGGATATTTAATTTAGGCTTCCTGCTACTTCGCTGTACTTTTGGAACTCCAGTCTCTTGCACTCGCCGGTAATAGTTGTTGATGGTGGAAAACGCCGGTGATTTACATAACAAATCCATCGTTCTCCCTTCAGTTGCCATCAACAACAGAATTCCGGTGATAGAGACGGACTAACGGTGACGCAAAGGGTGCAGCCGAATTGGTTCGCGACTTGGCTGCTGCGACGGGTGGACGGCGAATGGCGTTGGCGTTGGGTCGAAGCCAGGAGGCGGCGGCAGCGCTGGGTTTCCCGGAGACGGTGCTACTGTCTGCTCTTCTTCCGGCGTCCTTTGGCGGCTGTTCGTCGATCTCCATCGCTGCACTGCTTCTGTTCGCTGTTGTTGTTCGGCGCAGCTGCTTTACGTTACAGATGAAGAAGATGGATGATGAAACTTAAGGTAATGGGCCGGGTCTGGCCCATTGGGCCAGACCTGGGCTCTCTTTAAAAAATTAAAAAAATTACTAGGCCTGTTTTGATTTTGGGCCAGACCTGAATTGATATTTGGACTTCATCAATTCTTTCAGTTTAATATCTTCATTATATATGGACTTCTTCAGCATTAATTATTCAATTGAATTAATTATTATTATTCAACTTTGAATAATTATTCAGTTTTAATTTTTCAGTTGAATTTTAATTTAATAATGTTTTTCAAATTAAATTGTCTTAAGTATTGCAAATTATTTGTGGAGTATTCATGAGTAATATGCATAATCTGAGCATGCGTACTATATATCTTTTTATTGCAATAATTATTTGATTGTTATAATTATGCCTGTAAAAAAAGCATGTTCATTAAGAATAAATTTAGAGCCTTTTAGGTCTGAATTATATGCTCATTATGCATGATTTAGTGTCTGTTAGGTGAATTAGAGCCTTTCATGTTAGATTACGCATTACTCTACTCTTCAGTTATTATAAAGACTCTAAAGCACATAAAGTACGTAAAACAATTTGTAGTTTACCATATTCAAAGCCTTATCCACGGGTGAATCTACACTCTTTAGATCCTCAAACGGTTTTACTTCAAAAATGAGAACGCATGAATTAGGGAAGTTTCTTGGGGAGGAACACTAAGGAGTTGGTTTTTAACCGAGCTTCGTCTCGACCAACTTTCTTGGGAGTATACCTAAGGATTGTCTATCATATTTTGGTTTAATCTGTTTGTTTATTAGGCTTTCTTGCTAATGTGATTGTGTTCTTTGGTCAATTAAAGAGTAGCCACAACATCTTTAATTTACCGAAATTACATATTTACTCACCTAAAGTTAAGCCAAGAATATTGTAGTTAACTCTGCGTAATATGACAAAATTTAGCCCACATGTCATTTTGTT